GGAGGGGAGAGGAGAGGAGAGGAGGGGAGAGGAGAGGAGATGAGAGGAGATGAGAGGAGGGGAGAGGAGAGGAGATGAGAGGAGGGGAGAGGAGAGGAGGAATGCTTTTAGTGGTTGGATAATGTTGAAAACACGAGGTGATTACATTAGCATAGGAATAGTTTCCGTATGTCCAGTGTCGCAGTGGGACCGGGTGCAGAGGAGCAGAGTGAAGAACTGATTCACAGTAAACCTGTTAATATGCTCTTATTGCAGAGAGAGAGAGAGAGAGAGAGAGAGAGAGAGAGAGAGAGAGAGAGATAGAGAGAGAGAGAGAGAGAGAGAGAGAGAGAGAGAGAGAGAGAGAGAGAGAGAGAGAGAGTTGTGCAGCTCAAATGATGAATGAATTGGTCAAGAAAATTAATCTTCAGCTATTTTGACAATCGATTGTTCAAACATTCCGTTACACCTTGTAAATTTGCAAGGATTTGCTTTTGTCTTATGTGATAGTTAACTGCAAATATTTTGGTTCTGGAATGTTAGTTTGGACAAAACGAGCTTCAATGGACTCATATCGTGATACAATTATGTCGTCAATTAATTGATCATAACAGTATACTAACTCAAATTTCTCAGAAAATCAGATTATTTTGTACTTACGGTCTTAATTAAATGATAAAATGGTGAGTTATTTTCATTTAAGTATTTAATTCACACAAGAGTATACATAACCATGTGGTTTTTCATAGACTAGTCCATATAGACGTTATCGTATCGTTATCGATTCTAGGATATTGTGACAGACATTTACCACTTTTTTCTGACTTACTTTTTCTTTTTTTCTTTTACATCAAACAATTAATAAAGAAAATGATCAGCGGGTTAACTGTTGATGGAGCAAATAGTCAGTTGCAGCTCTACATATAGGTTCAGGTTCACTGAGAGAAGGATTTCCTCATTTTCTTCTCATATCTTCATTTGCTACTGAGCAACATTTTATCTGAGCTCATTCCGTCCACTTTGACCAATTTTCTGAATTTCCACATTTTTATTATTATTTGCAAACTTCTGACTGATTGCAAGTGTCACCAAATGAGTACAGGTGTGTTGTCAGGTGTAAAGTTGTGAGAGCACAAGTGTACTATCAGAATGTGTTGCAACTTTTAACACGGTTCCTTCATCAACTGCCAGCTTCAATATTTTGCATATCATCCCTATGTTGATTAATGCACTTGAATCTCTCCCGTATTTTTCCAATCGAGTATTAGTCTCACAGAGACTTAAAGAGGAGATGGAGGCTGAGTGATGTGGGGAGACGAGGCAGAGGAAGCACAAGGTCTGAGAGCTGCTGGCCAAAAATTTCAAATGGGCGAAGTGTCAGAAGCAGCTGTTCTGAAGATCACAGGTCTACAGCTGAACTCTGCAGCTCAGCTGTTAAACCACACTGGCAGGTAAAAACAAAGACTTTGTTCAGCACGGCCACATCCAACAGGTCTGACTTCTGTCACAAAGTCAAACCAGGAAACATCCCTGTAAGTGGCCGGTGTAAACCTTCAAAGAGCCAACCGTCTGTGCTGCTGTCGCTTTGAAAACCCGGAGGCTGCCGAGCTAGAACTGTGATTAAGCGGCACAATTACAATTAATTACAATACTCAGGACAGGTCCAATGCAATACACAAAGCTGAGGAAAAGAGAACACTACAGCTTGAACCCACAAGATAAAGCCTTAATGAACAGATCGTAAAAAGCAATCCAAACCCATGCAGCACCAGCGCAGTCATGTAAGAGCATGTGCAAATGAAATATGTATAATATGCAATTAAAGCTGCTCTGACTACTTGGTTCAGGACATGTTGCTTCCCTGTGAGTCTTCAGTCATGGGCAAGGTTTTGAAATCTGATGAGAAATATCTAATGCTGGCCACTAGAACCAAACACACAGTGATTGTTCTCTTCCCATTAGGGGAACTCAAGGCTCAAAACACAACAAGGACTTTTGTCCAATCCAGGTCAAGCATGGGAGAGTGTAGGTAGCACACACAGAGAGCACTGTTCACCCAGAGAGAGAACATGTGTTATCTAACCCCTCGTTTTGTTCCCGTTCTTTCCCCTCAGCGAGCACATCCATCCCACACCGAAAGGATTCCTCTAATCCAGGTGAGCGAAAGGCTCCTTAATCAGGTAATGATGACTCGGGATTACATGTTACTAAAGTAGCTTACTCCTGGAGCTCATATCACCTGAGCCTCTTTGACGCCTGCAAACGGTTCTCTGAACTTTTATCAGCCATGTGTTGATTTCCATGTTTAGCAGCTGTCAGGCTTTAGAGGAGGAAGCATCCTCCCTCATGTTTCGAGTAGAACACTATCGCTTCCAGAGAGACTAAGAGATGCAATGTTGTCAAATAAATATATAAATCTCTCTCTCTCTCTATATATATATATATATATTAAAAATCAATAAGGCGTTAAGGAGGGGGCGCTTGATGTTGTTCCTATTTTGTGTTCATGTAGGCCGACCTGATTTAAATTTTTTAACATATATATTGTGAAAGTTGCTTCGAGCAAAGAGCCCATGACGCGCCTGGTCATGTAGCAGCCACTGGGTCTGAAATGCATTTAATGTATGTTGTGTTATTTATAGGCTACGACACGGTGATGCCTTGGACGTGCGAGCAGCACGGAGAGCAGCCATTGGCTCACTGGTAGATCAGCTGACTTTAGAAAACGCCATGCACACGGTGAGAGACACAAAGTAGGCTACAGTCAGCACACGAGACAAGAGCATAGTGACCGAGGCGACTGACACAAATCAGAAAAAAAAATCCCCCAAAAACCTCCTGGCCTTTAGTGTAAATCATTAAAATCACGGGCCAAACGTGTGCTGAATGAGGGCCCGTCAGTCATTGTCATCTGCAGCCGGTCTGCACTCGAGTGTTATAATTTAAATCAGCATAATCAGCACAATAAACAGCCACAGGAGAGGATAAATAGGCTACTAATGAGCAATCTCTACTTAAACAGACAGAACAACAATAATAATACCTCACTTGGAATAACAAAATGACTATTTGAAATGTAAATGAAAATAACAAACATCACTCACCCGATTGTAACACAGTACCTCGCCGGTCCAGCGGTATTTTAACATAAAAAATGAACTGCTCAGCCCAGATAGCTTATTTTTTTACAAACGTTATTACACGGGGCTTTCTGCCTAGAAAATTATTTTTTTGCACCCACTGAAAAAATACATTTTACAAAAAAAGCTTTAGAAAAAGAAAATTTGCGGTTCCGTTTTTCTCTCTCTCTTAGCATTTCATAAGCTTCATTGCGTGTGTTTGTCGGCTTGAAAATCCCCACCGGAGCCGTCGAGCCTCGGTCCGTGTGAGAGACGGGCACAGAGCACCTGGTGTATAATTCAGACGATGTTGGCCGCTGGTTTACAGATTTTCACACTCGCTACTCGGTTTAACGGCTCCAAATTGTGCGGCTCGCCATTCATGCAGACCCGAATATTATCAGTAACTTATGTACATAATTTACAACGCACGACTCCAACGGCCTTCAGCAGGTTCGCGTGTGAAGCCTCCTGAGCGCGCTCTGTCTGCCTGCTCTCATTTGTCACCGGGCTCCTCATCGTGCTGAGGACGATCACATCCGACAGTTACCTCGCTCTGCCACAAGAGGGCGGTGGTGCTACACGTTCATGTCAACGGTTTATTGTGGGATTTTAATGCTGCATTCAAATGCTCCTCGTAAGCTTCAGTTTCAGGACAGCAGCCGTTAAACCTGAAATAGTATTCGACCGTTTTTGGCAATAAAAAAAGTCTGTAAAGGATTTTGTAACAATTCTGAAGACTATGTAGAGAGAGAGAGTGTGTGTGTGTGTGTGTGTGCGTGTGTGTGTGTGTGTGTGTGTGTGTGCGTGTGTACGTGAGAGTCAATGAAGGAGGTATTAAGATAATTTACTTAAATAAAAAATACTCTGTTACAAGCAAAAGTCCTGCATTTCAACATCACACTTGAGTACAACTACAGAAGTATTATAAGGATAATGTACTTAAAGTATCAAAAGTTGAAGTAGTCAATGCAAATAATTAATCTTTTATCATACTATATATTAATTATTATTACGGATGTGCATGTAGCATTTTACTGTTGTAGTTGGTATAGGTGGAGCTAGTTGAGCTATTGTACGTACTGCAGTTTATTCCGTGACATTGAATCACATTGTCTAAGATAGTCAGTATTTATTGTTATTGTTACGTAATGTTTAAATTTGTATTTTTTTTTATGCTTTCTTGAGAAACACGTGGAGGCTGCAAATAAATTACCTTCAGAGCAAAAGAGAGTTTCTATTCAGTACCTCTATTTTCATTCAATGCTCATTATGTACAAATAATCAAAGTTGTTCTGCTGTGGCGCTTAAATTCTACCTCAATAATGCTCGTGGTCTGCGCCTCTCCCTTTGAACATCACATAACCCACAGTCCTTGAAGACACTGTACTCATTCCTCAAAATCCCGACTTCTTTAACAGCACTTGAATGGGTCGTAACACAGCTAAATGGCACAGTGACATAGATCGGGTTTCTCATTATTATATTACAGCCCTCAGATTAAATGTGCAACATGATTCTGTGACGCCACTGAATTAACCGTCAAACCTTAAATGTTCTACATTGTGTCCGCAGCGTTTCTCACCACCGAGGCCTCCGTTCAGTGAAACTAATGCCTTGAGCAGAATGAACCGCGTAACCCCAGACTGCTGTCGCCCTCTGGTGCATTTCTTCTAGTATGCCAGTTGATTCAAGACCACTCCGGACCCAGAGGTGAAAAAAAAAAAAAAAACACACAAGAAATACTCGGACCGTTTTATTCATGATTATTGTTGTCACATTAGAAAGACTGGTTGCGACGCTTTGTATAAAAATCTTTACACTTAGAGGTAAAATAAAACAATTCAGACAAAAAGGCAGCTAAAATTGCCATCTAACCATCCATGTAAAATATATTTATTTCATTGTTAGGCTTGCAAGATGACAGGTTGATACAATAAACATGAAAAACACAACCACACACACTTAGGATCTTTAAACAAAGCACTCAGGATCTTTAAACAAAGCACTCGGGTTAGAAGATTGCGTGCAGGCCTGAGACAACATTAAAACCACGGGCGGTGTTATGATGAACCCACACTATGAATCTCCTGTGTTTTCTAATAGAGTATTAAAATAAATAGTTTTATCAGAGGAAAATGACCTATAGGCCAAATTTGTCTGAAGGAATATGTAAACATGTGGCAAGCAATAACTGCAGTGTGTCAAGTTCGAAAGGAAGCAATGGCAGCTAACACCAGACATAACAATATCACTGAAATATGTATCACACGATGAAAGTATATTCACGAGTTAAAATCTGCCTACGGACGTGGTGTCTGGTAGGACATTTAAACTATTAGTGTACCTCAAATGTTTTACTTAGCAATATTGACACATTACAGACAGGCCTGCAGAGAGGAAACACGTCCACTTCCTGCAATGGCTTTGGAAGACGTGCTCCAGCTGCATTCATTCACTCGTCACTGTTGCACTTTGGTCATCAAACATTTGGCCTCTCAAGTTTCTCTTCACCCGACACAAACAATTCCCTCGTTTCTACAATATTACATCTGCTCAAAAATGGCTCACAAAGCTTAATGCACAAATCCTTTATAACAAGTTACAGAACATTTTAAATACATTAAGTCCCAAGAAAATCCTTGCAGTCAACTCATGCCACTGCCATGAGATGGGGGGGGGGGGGGGATCAAATGTTGTTTGTGGCCCAGATCTCAGGTGGTTTTAGTCATTCCCTGGCTTTTTGAACATTCACTTGGAGCCACCCCAGGTGTTACTGTACTGTACGCGAGAGAGAGAGAGAGAGAGAGTCAGGCAGAACTATCCTTCCAGGGGTGGCCGCAGAGGAATACAGCCGTCCATCTCCAGAGACTCGGGCCAGCCTTCATACTTGTTGCTGCTCTTACTGTTCTTCATACGCTAATGGGAACAACCATGGGCAAACAGACACAATGTCAACAAAACAGACAGGTACCAGGATAGGAATCACCTGTTTGTCACTGCATGCATTACCATGTTAATGTAAATAATAATAAAAAAAAAAAAAGGTGTACGATAGAAGCACCACCACTTATCATGCGTTATCACATTTAGATGTGGAATGGATATTGAATATGGGAAAATGTTGGATTAAGTCTATTGCGATATCTTATCTCCAGTGTACACTACCACTAATAAGAGACTCTCTCGTGATATGGGTATGATCCCTCCTTATTTTATTGCATATCCTTAAAGCAACTGTATCATAATACCATTCTAACTGTAAGCAACTAATCTTTATGCTATTGACTGCAGAGTCCTTTTGCATGCTACTTCATATGATGACACTGGGGGGTGAAATAATTTTTACAACATCTTTAATAACTTAACTGCAGGCAAATGAGCGTTGCATCAAAGGGAGCTGATGATTTCTACCCATGGCATCAGTTTAGCAGCGATAGTGACATACCTGCTCAAAGGGACTCTTATTCTCGATGCCCTTGGCTCCAACAAACACCCAGCTGTCCCTGAAGGCCAGCTCCTTTACCGCAGTGCTGCCGAGATCCTCAAACAGTCGCCGAGACTCGTCGTTCAACCTGTCGACCGGAAATGAGGATAAGGTAGCGGGTCAGGGGTTATTAAGGGGGTTCGTCTCCTTCAGTCTGCACGTTGAAGTGTCCTTTTTCTGCAAGATGCTGAACCCCAAATAGTGCCATCGGTGTGTCCCTCTGTGTGAATGAGCCTTTAGATTACAGCAGGTGGCATGTTGCAGCCTCTGCCATCAGTGTATGAATGTGTGTGTGAGTGGGTGAATGTTGACATGTAGTGGAAAGCGCTTTGAGTGGTCGGGCGACTACAAAGGCGCTTTATAAAGTCCATTCTCCTGAACCAAAGGGGGTTTATGGTTTAAATGAAGGACTTATCCTCTTGTTTAGGTTTACTGAAATGAACTGCAGGCCAATTGCATTTCTCAGGCGGCTCCTCCTGAGCTTTAATACGGTCTGAGAGTTCATCTGTCTGGTTCAACCACCAACAACCCTGATGCGTTTTTAAGCCATGAGATTCTCTGAGGTTAATGGAGAGATTTACGCTCATGCCAAAAGGCATCAAGTGTTCAATAACAAAGAATTATCTGCCAGACTTAAATGCAATTATCAAAATCAAATCTTGATTCCTCATCATTACCCACAGGGCATTGGTCTTCAAATCTAAATTTTCGACTGCTCCGCTAACCTTACCTGATATCAGAGAGACTAGAACAATTAGAACTTTGCTCTTTCAGGGTGTTAAAACTTCAAAGATGTATAGTATGTACCAAATGCAAATGAGCTCATTACATATGGATTCTTACACAAGTGGAGATTATATTGTTGAATTTGTCTTGCATGGTGAGAGCAGATCAACTGATAGGCATGAGATGTTGGTTTATTGGACTGGTTGAACATTGATCCTGATATGTTTAGCAATGGAAATACGCTCTAAAAATGCTTTTCTCTGTAGCAGTGCCACACAATTATGAACAAAATATTTCCCAAGTTGCAACATGAAATATCCTTTAGCTCCAGCTGACAACGCGCCTGTGAAAACTGCTTTTTGTGAGGGGTGTTGGACTGGACCCGACAGCATATCGTGGCTTCTTACTTTGTAGCTGCATCATCAAAGGATGCCACAAACACGAGTGTTCCTTCGTGGAGCGGCCGGACAAACTTCAACAGGTCAGAAATATCTGCAAACGCACATCAGAAGAGCCGTGTACTGTGGTTTGTAGCGTGTTATTGCCAAGCCCTGTGCACCTGATGTGAAATATGTATCATACATTAGTGTTTCTATTACCTCCTGCCCACATGTCGAAGGTCTTCGTATCCAGAAGCTCTCCTGTCACTCCTGGAGCAAAGAAACATCCGTTAGATGTTAGGAGCTTAAAACATCAAGGCAACACAATGTGTTAAAAAAGGGGATGAGGACACGCTCACCATTCACCAAAGCTATGTTGAGTCCTCTGCCAATGTTGTTCTTCACGCTGCTCATTAACCTTTGAGAGAGAAACATATTATTCAAACACTAGCTGAGGCACTTAAGGAGAACACTATCTTGCCTCGCACATACACGTTAAATCTACACACTTGTACACACTGCCTGGCACTTGAGAAACAAAAACATATATAACAAGATCCAGGACTGGAGACAAAAACAGAGAAATGGGGGACAGAGACTGAAAGAATACTTGCATTCAGCTCCCCAGACAGGCTTGGAGGCCTGGTTATGACAGCACAGGGGGAAAAAGAACAGAGTGTGAAACCAAAAAAAGAAAGAAAAAAAAAGTAAAGACAGACAGCAGGGGGAGACAAAGACATAGATGAACAGAAAGAAAGGAGAAGCACTGAATCTCACATCTTGTCCTCCAGGCAGATCTTGGGTCCTATGACGTTGGCAGCACCAGACACCAGGCGGAAAGCCAAATGTTTTGGTGGACAGGGAGCCGAAAGTCCACATTTAAACCGTCGAGGGCGGGATTCAGCTAGAATACACGATACAACTGTCAGTGGTGATAAGGAGTACGATTAAGACAACGTTGACAGGAAGAGCAGCCATAAAATGTTGTGTCATCGTTTCTTTTACTTACCATCTGTTGGTTTCTCGCTTGCACCTGAAAAATACAAAATGTTCACACTCAAATGAACTTTGTTTGATCGTATTATACACACACACCCCTCACCATAGACATGTCAACCATCACTGCTTATCTTTAGCGTCGCTAACGACTACTTTCTTTATCAATTAATCTCTAAAATAACAGTGAAAAATGCTCATCGCCGTTGCCCAGAGCCCATGGTGATGTCAGCAGTACAAAACACAAAGATACGCAATTATTCATTTTAGAAAACAGAGGAACTCAATCCCCAAAGCCTCACGTTAAGCAGCTAGAGCCAGTTGAGTTTGATAAATTGCTCTCAACACATTTCCGGTCCATTAACATATAATTTCAGAACTACTTCTCTTACCGCTGAAGAAATGCCGCACAGACGAACCACCGTCTCCTCCAAATAAGGTGTTTGCCAACAGCCAGGTGAGCCCCACCAACAGCAGCAGGGCCGCAGCTCTAAGGGGGGCTGCCGAGAGAAACAGGTCACACTAGTTAGGGCCGGGAACGTGGACCAAAAAGTCCCCCCTGCAGTGTTACTAGAAGGTACAAACTACTTTAACCAACCTGTTAACCGCATGATTCACCCTCTCATAGACCTACACACAGACACAAAAAGGTACATTAATTAAAGTGGTTTCAATTTCAGCCAAAAAAATCAAAAAACGTTTCCATTTAGCATGACAGAAGTTCAAAATTGTGTAAATAAAAGGAGTAGTTTATAAATGAATTATTTATGAAGTAGAGGATAACTGCAGTAAAGGAGGAAAAATAAACAAATACAATAAAATAAAGGCAGATTCAATTCTAAGTTTTTATAAAAGGCAATGACCCTATTCCATTGTCTGTATTGCATTCGTTCGTTTTATGCAACTCTAAAGAGTTTTGCGAAATATACGAAGTCTTAAAAGGAAAAGATGTGTACTCTTGTATCAAAAAGGTGCTTGTGAAGACTACATTTAACCCTTAAAATCCTAACATTTACAAATACAATTAATTTGGGAACATTTCATTCAAAGTTAAGTATGACATAGCTTTATATGCATCACAGTGAGCGTTCAAGATGGCTCTGTAGCGATAACGTCTGCAGAGGCGACATGAACCCAAAGCATCGCTGACATGACAACAGCACATGATAACAGTCACTCATAAGAACGTACACACGAGACACGCAGATCTCACCTCCTGTGTCCACGCTTCAGGCGAGTACCGTTGAAGTTGTTGCCCCTTTCTTTTGCGGTGATACACGGTAAAGGGGAGCCGTTGCTCTCGTCACAAGGGACGTTGGCTATTTCTTGCGCTGTTTCCTCATCGAGGCTCCTCTGCTATGAATCCTCTTTCAGTGACAGTCAATGCCCCCGGTCGACCATAAGTCTTATAACGTTACTTCGCAATTCACAAGCATGGAAACACAATTGTCTTTCCCAAACTGTGGTGTCTTCCGTATATAGACCGCTACTACTGAGTCTGCGTGAAGTTGTTCACGTGACCCAGATTTATGTTAGATTTAAACCACTAATAACAATTTTTTTATTGTTGAACAGATATGTAATTAAACGTATATTGTCACCAAACCTATTAATCTATCTTTGAATTAATATATATTTGCATCGACAAAAAAACAACATTGTAAATATTGCGCGAGCACAACGCCTTCTAATCGTGCACGCGCCCAGTTCATGAACGTCAAGATGGCTGCCCACACTGCTGTGCTGTCGATGTCCAAAATCTTTAATCCCTTCTGGGGTGGACGCCTTGGAAATACGGTCAAAGTAAGACTAGAGACGTCTCGGCAGTCACGTTGGCTGTGAACGTTGTTGTTGTCCGGCTCCGAATAAAAGTCTAATTATATGACTGCCTCAGATTATTTAATCTGAACACAAGGTCATATGGTAAATATAGCGTCACAAGTGAATATAGCAGTCTTCTTCCACATCTCTGCAACAGCGCAGATATAGAGTTGGTTGCATTGAAGTTATGCTGAACAACGTGGACCCTCCGATAATAGAAATGCATTTGCAAACGCAGTAACCCATCTCTCTATGTTGTGTATTTCAGGTATTTGGAACATCTCTGACAAATCACAGGAATAAGACCGGAAATAGTGTAAGTGAATCAGATTGACGTGATTGGTTTGTAATGGTGTTCTCATTTAGCTATTTATTTACAAGCTGTATCGCTTTGGATTCATCTTTGGGAGAGGTTGTACTGTCTGTATTTGTTTTAATGTAACCTGGTTCTGCTGGAGACCTGTTTCCCACCCTGTTAGTGGAGGAGAGATTATAATACCTCTGTACTCGCTACTACCGGGATTCTTTTACGTGGCTCTCAAACTACTACTATCTAACTCTTGTTCTTCTGCTTTCCTTGCTGTCTGTATTCAACCACAACAGAGAGACGACATTGTAAGTAGCCGACTCTAACATGGTTTCCTCTACCACAATGCATCACTTTCATAACAGGACATTACTTCTTCATGCTGGCCACTGTGTGGTGAAGGAAAAAAAATATGTCTTACTATGACGAGAAGACCTACTGTAATGTTTTTTTGTCCTTTTAAATGCAGTGCAGCTAATGATGTACAAAATGTCCAATTTTACAGCCCCCTCCTGCAAAGTATGGAGGCAGACACACGGTGACCCTCATACCTGGAGATGGAATCGGTCCAGAGCTGCTCAATCATGTCAGAGAGGTTTTCAGGTTGGTTGGACTCAAACTAAATCCTGTTCAAAGTGTCGACTACAGGCTGCTCTCAAACTCGGCCTCTGTTTCCCTTCTTCATGCCGTAGGTTCAGCTGTGTCCCGGTGGACTTTGAGGTGGTGCACGTCAACTCTGCTGTGGAGACGGAGGATGATATCAACGACGCCATCACTGCCATTCGCCGTAATGGGGTTGCCCTCAAAGGCAAGCTAACTCTTTATTTTTTTTCTGTGTCACAAGCCGGTCATTTGAGCAGAGCACAGCTGTGAGAAGCATGTAGTATATAATAGGAACATGACACTAATGTTTATCTTTGTTAACTCTCCTGGTAGGTAACATAGAAACCAAACATACCATGGCGCCATCTGTCAAATCCAGAAATAATCTCCTACGGTAAGAGTTTTAAGGACACATTCAGTTCCCTTGATTGACATTTCTTCCATCATATGTGCCTTTGTGTCTGGTAATGTCAGTTGGCCTATTGTGTATTTATTGCTTCTCTCTCTCTTTCTCTCTTGTTCCATGTGTGTATTAACAGCACAAGCTTAGATCTGTATGCCAATGTGATGCACTGCCAGTCGCTCCCCGGAGTTCAAACTCGCCACAAGAACATCGACATCATGATCATCCGGGAGAACACGGAGGGAGAGTACAGCAGTCTGGAGCACGAGGTCAGACAGAACAGAAACACACGCTTATACTCCCTCCTTTAAAAGACTTCTTTCCTCTCTATGTCTGTCTTTCTCCCCGCTTTTTATTCTCTTTTTGAAATGGGAGTGAGGTAACACTCATGTACTGTTTATTAAAGTACAACATTTGTTTACGAAGAGGAAACATTGATCTGATATCCTTGATTATTGGTGCTACGGATGGGTATCGTTTTATCGATATCGATACTAGTACTCTTATCGATACTGCTTAACGGTTCTTTTTGATTATATTGTGAGAAAAAAGACAATTAAGAAAACAATCTATATTGCTTATTTATTCTCAATGTTCATTCGTAGCTAGACAATTAGCTAAGTGATGATTAGCTTTCATTTATTTATTCTTATTATCAAACTGGCATCACTTAAACAGACTGGTATTGCCAAGAGATGCCAGATCCACATTGAATGCTGTTTCCTTAATATAAAATTTGCACACGCCTTAAAATGTATGTTGGTGTGTGTGTGTGTGTGTGTACACCTCTACTCACTCACACACAGCCTGATGTTACCTTGTACACAGAAGAAGGATCCGTGTCAGTTCTACATGCTGCTTCACAAATAACAATGTTACCACATTATTAGCGGCACCAACCACTTGAACGTTTGCTGTCATTTATCAGTCATTCTCCTTCCTGTCTTCTTTTAGAGTGTATCAGGTGTAGTGGAGAGTCTCAAGATCATCACCAGGGTCAACTCCTTGAGGATTGCCGAATATGCCTTCCAACTGGCCAGGGAGAAGGGTCGTAAAAGGGTCACTGCCGTACACAAGGCTAACATCATGTGAGTTACTCTGAGGCAGACGGTGTTGTGCCGGACCTGTCTGGCCACCTGAATCTTGCACGATATTGTGAGTTTCTTGGTGCTGGAAGTGTTTAGTTTGGCCTTTCTGCTCCAACAGGAAGCTTGGTGATGGCTTGTTCCTGGAGTGTTGCAGGGAAGTGGCTTCTGGTTACCCGGACATCACGTTTGACAGCATGATTGTGGACAACACCACCATGCAGGTGACAGAGCATACAATGACATACATTGTTTGGAAAAGTTTCTAAATGCTTCTATATCTAAATGATCCACCCACTACTTTGCTTGTCTGTGTTTTTAGCTGGTGTCCAAGCCCCAGCAGTTTGACGTGATGGTGATGCCCAATCTGTACGGCAACGTGGTGAGCAACGTGTGCGCAGGCCTGGTGGGAGGGCCTGGCCTCGTGCCCGGGGCTAACTACGGCCGGGACTATGCCGTCTTTGAAACGGTGAGTGTTTGGCAGTTCACACTACCATGTGCACACGTAGCACTTCCCGACTCAAGCCTCCCACAAGGGCCTTAATGGCCTTTAATAAATGGTTTAGCTGGATGGAAAGTTCCCCATTATGTGGTATGTAAAGTAGAAAAGGGGAACAAGATCACAGTGCAAGTTATCACAAAGCAGGAGAGTTTGCGCACTTTCCAGTTCATCGAGATTATTCTTTTTGCCTAGAGGCATTCCAGCGTGAAGAGAAGGTTTGTAGGAAATGAGCAAATCGCTTTCTGGTCCAGCAAACATAAAACAGGACAAACCAGGAAATTTCCATCTAATTTGATTAAAATGTGTACTGCTGCTGCTCCAAGTTAAAATCCGGCAACACGAATGTGCCAGATAATTATAGTCCTCGGATGATGATGATGACAACATTTTCACAGCTGGAAGGCATAACTTGCACTGTACTGTGGTGATGTTCCCCTTTTTCTGCTTTATGTACAAAATAATGGTGACAATTTATCATGTTTGTTTTCTCTTGTCTTTGTTTGCATATTTGGTATTGAGGTAATCCAAAGGGAAATCAATCAAGTGACTTTCTTTAATGTTGTGATACTTGGATTAGGTTACAAATATGATGTTAAATTTGATATATTTTGACTCAGGATTCTGTTTCTTGTCTTATTTTTCTGGGTCTCTCAGGCCACAAGGAACACAGGGAAGAGTATTGCGCAGAGGAACATTGCTAACCCCACTGCCATGCTGCTAGCCAGCTGCATGATGCTGGACCACCTTAAGTAAGCTGCCTAAATACTTTTACTATACACCTTCCTGTGGTTCCATCTGAGATGTGATGCTTGTGTCACTGGGGTATACCAGTAAATACACAAGTCTTTCTCCTGTATGTCTCCAGGCTTTATGACTACGCCACTCTGATCCGAAATGCAATCCTCACTACTATGAATGAAACCAGGGTAAGTCTTCGGTCACTGACGGGCCTCTCCCCTCACCTGTCGCGCTGCCACAAAGCTAACAAAGCATTGTTGTGTGACAGAGGCTTAGAGGCCCTGGTTGCAGGTCTGGCATGCTTCCCAGTGGGCATCACAATACATTTACACAAAGCAGCATCGTGCCCTTTCAGTGTCACAAAGCTCTTATGAAGTGCTACACTGTATGGTCTCTGATTTTACATTGTCTCTGATTTTACATTGTGTTGCATTGACATTAATTAAGTCCTTGTTTGTTTTGTTTTGCAGTTGCACACAGCTGATATTGGGGGTCAGGGCACCACGTCAGATGTGGTCCAGTCCATCATGAGGATCATCCATAGTACAGGGCCGCTCACATCTGCGCTGTAAACACAGACACACACACACACACACACTCAGTGTGAGTTTGAACAGGTTATCCATGCATGTCTGTTGCCATAGCGCTGGGTCTTTTTACTGACATCAGAATGTTTCCTATTTTTTTGTCGTTCACAAAGCTTACTGATAACTGTCCAAACAACCTTTTATCCACAACTGTGTGTTTCACATATAGTAATGACCTTCGCAAGACTTATTAACAAACGGTTTACCATTGATCAAATGCCATCATCACTCCCATCAGATGATAAATCCTGCTGTAAGGACATTTCCTGAGTTCATCAGGTTCATTCAGTTGAAAATCTGTAGTCTTACAAATTGTTAGGAAACATGAAAATGACTCTTGCTGTGGCCTGACAGATGCTGGGGTCAGAAATATTTAAAATATCCTGATATGACCATGCATTTTCCACTCATTATTTATTTTCCAAATTCCGATGATGTTACAGCCTTTTTATTCAACAAAAAAGTGCTATGTTCATTTAATGCCTTTTTTTTTTTTTTGTCATACTGTAACTTAAATATTGGGTTGCCTGTTATAAATGTCCTGTGTGTTGACATCAGTTCAACTGTACTTAATAAATGATGTCGCTATTTGATATACTGCAGAGTTCATTAAGGAATGTAAGTTTGGGTCATCACAAAAAATACGCTGTTGTCTTTTAGTCTAACTCGGCAAGAGCTCTTAAAGCTGGATATGAAGAGACTTATTTTATCATATCTGTGGGCGGTTATGTACACTGTATAACACAAATATTATCAATAAAGAAATAATCTACCATATCATGATTGTTTTGGACTTAAGTTTGAATGTGAAACAACTCTCAAATGAGTTTTAAAGGTAAAGTATACATACACCTTAATGTTATAACCTTCATGAAGGTCAGATGTATAGCAGGACTGGCTCGGTGTACCTAATAAACCGGCAGCTGAGTGTATAAAGCCTTGGTAAAACAGGAGCTTTTCATTGTTAATATTTATCTTGATTCTTTGCCCCAGCTGCAAAGAAAGAAGCTCGATGGCCTCCTGCTGGGAATAAAGATTATCTTTCTCTAAATTAGATAAAGCTCACTGATCCTTGAGTTGGTTTTACAATTTCACATGCCATAAACATCTTACTCGCATCTTTGAAGGACAAGTTGCTGTTTTACATTTCACCACTAGGTGGCAACACCACTTTCTAGCGTTGCCACTAAACTGTAACTTGGAGCAAATTGTGCACAGATATGTATGTGTGCTCCGTTACATGCACTGTCTGGCAAGGACAGAAACGCAGCAAATATGAATCGCTGTGGATCACTATGTGTGGATGTTATGTCCTGCAATGATGGAGGGAAAAAGCCGTAGGGAAGCAGAAGACAGATTGATCCCCATATTGGCAACAATAAAAATGATTCTGGTTCTTGTGATTTCTAGGAATCGGACTCTTGGCTTCAGACTATAAATTTCTAAGATAAGCAAGGATTTTGGCTTATCCTCATTTAGCATGGAATCAAACCATTTATTATACTTTCACCTGGTAAAACCAAACCATCAAATTATTGTTCCATCTATTTTCTTTTTAATACTCTGACCACACAGTCACGATAAGAAAATCTGCCCTGGTTCTCTTAGCCAGCAGCAGCAGGAAGAGGAGCACATAGATTCTATAGCGGTTCAGCTGCGACCTCCTGCTCACATATATCCCAGCTCGCCTCTCTTTCTCAGATGTGGTCAACACGGGCACATCCCATCATTGTAATTGCACTTGCCAATCCATCATGTGTCTAATTCTGTGAGAACGTTCCAAAATGTTTCCTCAGTTTAAAGTGTTTGCACATTGAGCGAAGAAATACTTAGTGCTGGGGCTCTTTTTTCTTTAGAATTAGTTGTCCTAGGGAATCAACAATCATATATACAATGGTTGTGAAATGTGCAGGGAATTACTATGTGTGTACTTTGGCCTCTGCCAGTTGGCTGTCAACTGTATTACGCCCTCTCCATTCATGTCAGTTATTCACTCTACAACGATTTAGAAGGAATCAATTTTTGTCATACTTTATGTCAGAGGTGAAAAAGCTTTTTCTCATCGTCCTCTACACTTGTTTACCTCACTTTACCACACATCCCTTCTCATCACTACACACTCTCTCCCTCTCACCCCTCACCTCTCGACCTCTCGACCTCCCCCCCCCCCCCCCTGAGCTGCTGAGTCCCCTGAGTCCCCGCTGGAGCCGGCCCATGAGGCAGATGTTCAGACGTTTGTGGAGAGAGGCAGATGCTGCAATGAATCACCGGCCATTTCAAACTTTACGGGCCACCATTCAGCCCTTGTATAAACCTGTGAAGGGGTCCAGCTGTGCAGTTTTTGCCGCAAGAGATTGGGTTAGTTCACCCAACTTTCAGAAACAAAAAACTCTTACCCCCAATGTTATCAAACCATAGAGATAGTTTTGGTTTCATGTGCCTATTTTTATAGATTTCTATCTCTGAGGTTTGTGCCGCCATTCCGATACAAATGAGGTGTATATGGAATTTCATTTGTGATGCTGACAGCATTGAGAAATCACATTTGGAAAATTCAACGCCAGCTTTTCTTTCCAGAAACAGTGTCCCTGATACTCTAGATCCCAGAGCTCTAAATAGTCCTTATGAAAACTGTTCACAGCATGTTGTGATTATCCAGAATAATGGGGACGCAAAAGAGAAGTTGCAAGATGTTAAAAGCAATGTTTCAAACTTTGAGCACCACAAAACATTATATTCACAATCCCGGTATGGCCAGATACTTAGATGTATGTGAGAATTTATATAGTTTTAAATTTTCTTCCACAAATGTCCGGTGTTCTAGACAATAGTGACGAAGTGATTTGCGATCGAGGGGCATCTGCCCTGAGCAGCAGCAAGATAAATCCCCCCATGGAGTCTGGTGATTCTGAGACTGGGGGGCTGATGAGGCGGATGAATCTGTGATGACTGGGTGGTGATGGGGGGGATAGATGGGCGCTCGTCTAACAGCAGCATGAACGTATACTGAAGGCAGAGACCATATCGTATTAAAAAAGTGAAGGCGGCAAGATGATAGGCTAACAATGTAGGTGTGTTGCTGTGCTATTTGATTGACGTGACATGATTGACGGCCCCAGATGATGACAGCAGGAATTTATGAGTGAGTAGTGCCTGAGAGGCGCGAATGGCAGGATGCATGAGAAATTAATTACAGGCCTAAGCATACAAAATAATAGTAATTAAGAAGAGCTTAATTTCTGCATGTACACTCATACTGGCGTGTTCTTAAATTTGCGGCTGCTGGCTGGTTCCCCAGCTTAGATGTCTTTTTTTTGCTCTGCTCCTTCACCCGCAACTCCTCCCTACTACCTTCATTCCTCACCTTCTCTTGGTAAGAAATGAAGGCGATGTTAAGTAGATTAAACACCATGTTTAATGTCTTTCATCCGCCTTTGGAAGTGAAAATGCTAATCTGAAAGGTTGAGTCAAACCACAACATATGATACTGATATTATAAAATGTGGTTCTATTATTGGCCATCAATCTGGCCTATCTTACTCCTGATAATAAGTCCCTCTTCTCTCTTTCTCACACACACTACTAGTCACTTAGTGTAATTCAATATCCAGCCTGTAATTTACACTTCATATGAACATGACCCCTCCTCTCATGTTGAGCAGCTCTGCTATGCTACGCAGTGCATTGCAGGTAATCATAATCAGTCAACTTGCCTCTGATCAGGCTCTGCCGAGCACAGCTGCATCCAGTCAGCCGGCTCTGCTCTCTGTTAATGGAGCTTTTTTTTCCTCCCCCCGCAGCTATGGCTTAGCTACATTATGCTACGTCAGTGGTCAGTTATTCTCCATTACTTGGGCCTGGCTGTGTGTGTTTTGGATTCTCAGTGTGTCTCTCTCTTTACATGTGGGCATCCAGTGTCAGTGACAGCCCCTATGAGAGAAGAATTATGAACGAGTAGTTGGGAGAGGTTAGCGGTGGTGTTTGCTTGGCAGAAATGGATGTAGAAAGAAGGTCAAGGGGGATAGCATGCAGAGGACTGAGGGGGGGGGAGAGCGCGGACTTGGCTGGAGGATAAGGGGGGTATTGGGCTAATTGAAGGAGGATTGTGAGTTTTTGGTTGGAAGTGGGAGGAAGAAGAGTGTGATATATGTAGCAGATATAGTTAGATAACCATGGGAGTTCACTGGGCAGTTAGCTGTAGACAGACTTCATCACCACCTTATCTTTCAAAATGAAAGGAAGCAATAAAGCTTCTGACTCCTGCCTGCCTCTTTATCAGGAGCTGCACACTGTTACTTTTTACACGGCTGGTTTTAACACCAGAGGGTTACCACCTAGTGAGGGCATAAGGCGCTTATCGTCGGAGCTCTGCTAAAAGTGAAGTGATGCATCAGAACAGTTTTATTTATCCGTTTTCTGTTTTGGTAGCTCGACTACTCCTATTTGAAGGCTGACTGCTCCTCCACTTGCAGAGCATGTATCACTCCAACTGCTAGGGTTGCACTACCTTACATAAGGACACTCCAAGGATCATGTGCAGGCCAACATGCTTGAACTGAGGTCACGCAGAGAGACTCTCTCTTTCTTGACCAACCACTCTAATACCCCTCAAAGTAGATATAGGGGACTCCCCACTCTGACCTCGTTGTTAAAATATAGTACATAGTGACTTATTTGAAAATAAACACAAGCACATACTTGTTTTATGTGACTCCAGCACTTATCTTGCACCTTGTAAAATACATTTGTAAGTCTGTTGTGCTTTCTATTATTCCTTTAGGGGAGGACATCTGAAGCTCTGTGCATAGCTGTGTATATATATATATATATATATATATATATATATATATATATATATATATATATACACATGTATACATTTACATATACTTTTACTGGAGCCATGCTCTTAGATCCAGGCAGACAAACTGATTTCAGCTGTGCTACATGAGGAAGCCCTCTACATGCATGCTGACCAGGGGGTGCTTTATTGCATTGTGTCCAAATAGGAACCTGACTGTCTTGCTCACTTTTCCTACCTCACACACTTTGTTCCCCCATCTCCTCGGCACTGAAAGCCTCTTGGCATAGTGAGAGTGAGGGGAGCCTGTGAGCTATTTCTGTTTGGTTTTATGTTTATGATAAATTAGTTGTGTTGCTAGCTAGGTCTTCTGAGAATGTTGATGTGTTGTCCCTCATCAGAGAGAAACACTTAGGTCACTGCTGCACTTTGGCCAGATGTGTTACTGGAGAGGAAGAAAGGGAGGGAGGAGAGGTAAAGCAGTGATTGAGTGGCTATTGATGGGCTAATTGTTCCATCTGAAACCATTCTTCCATGCTTGCCAATATTTCCCCTGTTCTCTCTCTCGCTTTCAATCTCTCTTGTTCTCTCTCTCTCTCTCTCTCTCTCTTTTGATGTCTCTCTATAATGCTATTAAATGTTTTACCATCTGTGCTGCGAGTTCAGGTGGCACTGCCAGAGTTACATTACATCAAGGCAAGCATCCTGCATTCATGACAACCTGCATTACACTGCCCTGATGTCATCACAACTCTGCTCCCCTGAAATTGAAGCATCTTGGCACTTTGACAACTCGACAACCCCCCACTTTCCAGTTCTGTATTCACCAGTTGAAAAAAAAAAACCAGTGTGTTCTTTTGGTTGGCAAAATAAAGCTAGCAACACTCGTGTAGTTTAATCTAATAAATGACTTCAGTCTCATCCCCGACCAGTGACTCAGCTCTGTGCGCGTTCATTTCCTCGAACTGGCCGGGAC